CTATAAACTTCAGTCTTTATTCACAGGATCTCATTTGATCCTCACAATCATATCTTTTTAAAGATGAAGACTACAAAGGGTCATCAGCTTGCTCCATGACACAGTCTTTAGCAGAAACTGGAGCAGAATCCAGATCTTCTGAAATCCACCCCCACCTCCCCCGAGGTAGAAAGAATGAGGAGAAGAGTGTGTGGAAAGTGTGAGAGCTTTGCAACATAAGGGCAACAGTAAAGACTGCGTGTGCATGCGCCCAGGCCAGGGGTTCTCAACTTCGCCATGAATCAGAATCACTTCTAAAACTTCAGCAAAACAGAGATACTTTGAGCTCACAATTTACACACACACACAGACACACACACAGACACACACACACACACACACACACACATCTAGGACACTGAAAGGGCCTAGAAGCAGTGACTCCCCAGTGGTGATAAGCACATCTAGCACCCAGACCATGGTTTCTAAGTACAACTCCCCACACTCAAAGGAACCATAGTCCCCTGAAGAAACAGCACATTCGGGTTTGAAGACAGGAAAGTCCAAATGTGGATCTGAGACATCGTGTGGTCCTAGAAAGCAATGAGATGTTCAAAGTCCAATGGGATCACATCGAAAGGACAAAAGGGCTGGCTTGAAGGGACTCCTACTAGTCAAAATAAGGGATGACTTAAGCATCAAAAACGTGACTACAGTAATGGACTATATAGAATTCACTGAATAGAAGAGATTCCAAGGGAGACTGAAAAAAAATGGCATAGATGATAGAGGTTCTGTTCATCCCTCTGGCGACCAAATCAAAGTTGTGACAGAAACAAGGAGCAGCAGCAAGGAAAAATCGCCTGGGATCTAGATGAACAAGCCGTACAACTAGGGAGAAGTTCAAGAAAGCACCCTGCAACGGCAGAAGGTAGGACGGGGCGAGGACGCGGGGCTGCCGGGTCTCGAGTGGCTGAGTGAGACGGAGACGGCGGTAGCGGCAGCAGCAGACGCCTCTTAAAGGGGCTGCGTCCATGAGCGGATTTTCATGGTGACGGGCCTGCTCGCTCTGAGCACCAGTGCTGATTCGCCTGTGCGCAGGGGGCACCAGGGACTTATAGGAAGACACTGTCGGAGTGAGGGCTGAGGCAAGACTTGCTCTGTATAGAAGTGCCGGTAGTATCCATTGTTCCGTTGAGCCCTTCCCACTCCCAGTGCGCGGACACAGCGCAGCCATAGCCCTGTCATCATCAAAGTGGATAACAGAGGTCGCTCCACCAAGAGGATTCCATGAAACCCCGCCTCCTCCAACTCGTGGCTCCACCTCAGCGAGTCAGATGCGCCTGGATGACCAGTGCCTAGACTCACGCTGGAGGCAGCTGGCCTCAGTTTCTGGTGTGGCCTTTTGAGGCAACTATAAGCACAGCATCTGTGGATTGCTTGCTGAATCTTAACAGGTGGCCTCGGATGAGTAGAGTCTTGGGCTAAGTTTGACTTGCAGCTGAACCTCTCTCAGGACTGTCGCAGGACACCTACTTCCCAAATCCACACTAATAAGACCGGGAGATTTAGGAGCTTTGCTTAGTACATAGAAACAGACATGGAAAGGCAGCCAAAATGGGAAGACAAAGAAGCAGAAACCGTATGAGAGAACAGAACAGAGATCCAGATATAATGGACTCAAGTAATCTAACAGATGCAGAGTTCAAAACACTGGTTATAAAGATGCTCAATGAACTTTTGGGAAGTTTGGATAAATTCAGTGAGAACTTCAATAAAGAGATAAAAAACATAAAAATTGAAATGGAAATTATAAAAGAGAACCAGTCTGAAATAAAGAATACATTATCTGAGATGAGAAGGATACTAAATGGAATAAACAAAGGAATAAACAATGTGAATAAAGAAAAGGATCAAATGCCCTATCTAGAAGATGGGAAAGCCAAGGACACGCAAGCAGAATGGCAAGAGATGAGATGCCAAGACTATAAAAATAGTTTAAAGAGCATATGGGACATTATTAAGGGTCTGAATATCCAAGAAAATCAAGATGCTGAACAGCTCTTTGAAGATATGATGATGGAAAACTTCCCTAACCTGGTGAAGGAAATGGACATCAAACTCCAGGAAGCGCAGAAAATCCCCAAAATCAGGGATCCAAAGAGGCCCACACCAAGACACGTCATAATGAAGATGCCAAAGGTTAAACACAAAGAAAGAATATTAAAATCAGCAAGAAAAAAACAAATAATTACTTATAAGGAAACACTCATAAGACTAGGCAGCTGGTTTCTCAAAAGAAACTATGCAGGACAGAAGGGCTTGGCAAAAAATATTCAACAGGTTGAAGACCCAGGATCTATAACCAAGAATAATTTATCTAGCAACGCTATCATTTAGACTGGAAAGTCAGATAAAGGGCTTCCCAGACAAAAATAAGTTAAAGGAATGTATCACCACCAAGCCAGTATTATAGGAAATGTTGGAGGGACTTCTTTAAGAAGAAAAAATACAAAAGACTCACTTCAGATTAAAAGACACACACAGACTAAAAGGAAGGGGACAGAAAAAGATATTGCTTTGATGGACCTGGAAGGTATTTAAGTCAGACAGAGAAAGATAAACACTATATGATTTCACTTCTATGCGGAATCTAAGGAATAAAAAGAACTACTCAAACACAGACTCACAAATATAGTGAACAATTTGGTGACAGAAAGAGGGGAAGAGGGTTTGGGGGGCTGAGAGAATGGGGTGAAGGGCTAAAGAAGTACAAAATTAGTAGGTGATTGATGGTTACAGGGATGGGGAGCACGGCATAGGGAATGCAGTTAGCATTAATACGTTGGCTAGGTGGAGGGTCAGGGGAGGGAGGGAGGGAGCAACTGGGGGGATCGTTTTACAAACTGTATAGATGTCTAACCAATGTACTGTATACTTGAAACTAATTAATTTAAAAAGAATCCATTGAGACCTCAAAAAAAAGTAGTTTTTCTTTACAGAAAAATGCAGGCTAATAAATATGGAAGTGATAAATTTAAAGAATTGCCATTTTGCAATCCCCAACATGTAGTAATAAGGCAAGGATCATAAATGGATTCTAAAACATTTATGAATGGTTTTTAGAAAACCACAAAGCATCACCCCACAGATTATTAATTACAAAAGAATATATATATATATATATATATATGTGTATGTATATATACCAAAGGTATTGTGTGTGTGTGTGTGTGTATATATATATATATTCCTTTGGAGAGATCTATCATCAATAGTGGGTCATCTGAACATCTTGTGCCTCCTGAGGTGATGAAATAAGTACACATCACCACTTAGGTTCTTGTCACAATGTTCAAAATTCATTCCTCAGAACCTAATTATTAGGAAATAATGACAAATCCAGATTGTGGGATACTATCCAAGACAACTGGCTTCGCTAGACTCTTCAATCAATCAATGTCATGAAAAACAAAAATAGCATGGTATCTGTTGTAAAATGAAGTGTAAGACAAACAACCAAATGTAGTATGTTATCTTTCATTTGATTCTGAATAAAAAATTCAAAAGCTGTAAGGTTTGAGAAATTGGGGAAAACAAAATATCAACTTATGTCAGATTATGGAATTGTTCATTTCTTAATGTGAAGACATTGTGGTTACACAGGAGAATGCCCTTATTCAGAGACACATACATCATGTAGGACTAAAGGGTCGCAGAGTCTATGACTGGCTTTCAAGTGATTCAGTATTATTTAGAAAGATAACCGAATTAGTGTCCTCAGAGTTGGGGCTCTGGAATCTTAAAAAGCTCACCCAGGTGACTCAGATACAGCTAAAGAGACCCACTGGTCCAAGTCCTGGTTTCTGCTACCTCCCCTGTAGCTAGAGAAAAGTGAGGGGAGGAAATGCTATAATTCTTTCAGCAGAATTAGCTCAGCTGGTAGCCCAGAGCCTTTTCCCTAATGGTTCCACAAGCCAGTTATCTCAGTCTGAACGGCCTCTGAGGGTCTTCCAATCGGATTTCCCATGGAGGAAGGTACACACTAGTCCTCCCTTAAGGGGCCTTGGCTGCTCTGAGAAACCAATAACACAAGCTTCAGGCTATTGAAAAAGCTAGAGGAACAGAAGCAGGGAGCGAGCCAAGGAACTGTTCAGGGGAAACCTACCAGACGAAGATTTCAGTGTTTTGCCAGGAATCAATTTAACACTGAACACAGAGGGTTCACCTGGGGAGTACGGGGAGGGGCAGGTCAATTAACATTTAGTGACGATCTGTTATATACTGAGTCAGTTGTCATTACTAATCACTTCAGCTTTGGCACACATGGGTATATGCCCTCACTACAAAACAATTTGTTCAATGTCTTTTCTAAGAAACTTGAGGAAAATAAAAGCCAGATTGATTATGAGACAATTTAAACAAATGCAAGACATTTTTAACTAAAGAGCAGAAAAGGTTAGGTCGCCATACAGCTGTCAATTATTTTTATTGAAGTGGAAAAAATATTTTCACTAAAACAACTATTAATATATCCTTCTACATGATTATGCTAAGGAGAGGAGGAGGTGGGGAGGCATACAAGCTGTAAAAGGTAGAAAATGAATGAAAGCTGGGGAAGAACTCTTCCCAGCAGTCGAGAGATGTCTGCAGCCAGCTTTCCTGGGTACCTAGTGGGCAGGGAAGATCAGGAAGAGATCCATCTGGGAAACAAAGAAGAGATTATTGCCCACAGCTGCCAGTGTTGCCTCTCTACACATCTTCCACTCTTTTGGCAATGGAAGCCCTCCATCTCCGCCGATCCACAATCAGGCAGCCAGGACACTCCCCTGAAAAACTAGCTTGGCTTCCTGAATAGCCAGTCCTTCGGGAGCCAGGCCTGTAAGGTCTTAAGGCTGGCACTGCTGTAGGTCACCCTCAGCCCACTGTACAAGATGATGCTCACCAACACAGTGCCAGTCACTCCACTGGCAACTCCTACTCCCAAGGCTATTGCCACCTTCTTTTCCCACGGTGGACGGTGGGGCCTGGAATAGTTATCCAGATTCACTTCCAGGCCCTCATCTACTAACTTCTGCTCCTCAGTAAGGGACTGATGGAAATTCAGGTTCACCAAGTTAGGAGGAAGAACCCTCAGCCCGAAATAGAGCCTCTTGACGAGTCTCAAGTTTTTTAACAGCTGCACATCACACCGGTAGGTCCCAGAGTCATACTCCTGAGTAGACTGAAACTTCACAAAGTGGGAACTAGCTCGGAAGGGCTTGAAGACTTCATCATCAGTTGAGATAATACCCCGAGCAAGTCTCCAAGTAAACCGGAAAGCCTCCTTCCCAATCTCCAGGATGTCTGAACTCAGACAGCTCAGCTCAAATTCCTTCCCTATGAGAACGGTGAAATGGAGCATTCCACAGATCCAGTTGGTCAGACATTCCAAGCGCTGAGATTTACATTTCCTTCTCACGCCATCAGGGCCTACCTCACAGACAGTCTCCTCCTTATAGCCAAGGCCACAGGTGACAGTACAAGTTGTGGCATTGACAATTACTTTGCCTACAGCTTCTTGCAGCTTCTCAGGGATGGCCAGTGTTTTAGGTAAAGTCACCACCAAAGGCAGATACATGGCCAACACCAGGCTCCCAAGGATGAAAACGGTGGATACAGTCTTCATGTCTCAGTAAGCATTTCGCCACCCTCAGTCAGCACCCCGAGGTATTCCAAGTGAATCCTCTACGTATCATAACTCAATTCCTTCAACATGAGATATCCTTCAAAGTCAGAAGATGTAACACACTGTCAATAAAATACCGCCACTTAAACCATGGTCCAGTCCTTATCAACAGGTGAGGCCACAGGGCAGAAAAAAAGTCATAATGTTGCTGCTTTACCATCTCTGCTTGTTAGTCACCACCTTACCGGTCTCCATTCTTTCCACATCCTTTTAATGAATTTAAATCCACCTCTTGGGAAGACAAAGATGAAGTGACTTCAGAAGCTGAATTTCCAAATTACCTCAAACGCAGAGTGAAGCTAGACTTTTCCTCACT